TTTTTTTTCCGCTGCCGTAAAGTGCAATGTCTTGCGGCTTTGATGTTTATATTCATATTCTCACGTACACTCAACTATTTTATTATTCAGGACAATGATCCTCTCTCGACGACCGAAAGATGATGATGCAAAGGACGGATTCACCAACTGGCCGTTCATGACCACTCACACTTGGGGTGAGAACCCCATTGGAAAGTGGAAGCTCATTGCTAGGTTCCAGGTATTGTGTTGTTTTACAAGTATTTTCACTATGTTCCGCTTTCAATTGAAAATTTTGGTTTTTGTAGAGTGCAAAGTTGAGTTTTTGCAATGCTGATCATGAATTCGTATCCATACTGCGCATTAGTGCCTTATTGCTGAGGTACGGTAGGTGTAGAGGAAGAAAGGGGTGAAATCAGTAATTTTACTCAAAATTTCTCCAGTAGGTTCTTATTTACCTGAGCCTTATTATGATTTGTGACCTTGACTGCCTACAATGCCTATCTACAAACAAGGCGCTTACATGCGGAGTAGACGTGACCAGCATGTTAAATAGCGCTCTAGGAAGGGAGAGAGGCAGGTTCGGGTTCTTGATCTTCTACCGTTCACTTACCGTATCGCCACTATGGCGCATGTCAAGCGGATATGCTGTTTATGGATAGCTTGAAATAATTGCCTGGCGAAGTTTGAGCAAAATCCTAATCTTTGATTATTGGGTCAGAGAAAGCGAAACAGCGTCCTACTACTTTTTTAAAGTCGTTTTATTATTAACGTAATCCTTTATAGGGACCGGGCAAACATCGTGGAACGCTGAAGAAATTCTCGTTGATGCTGCACGGCACGAAAGAACCTCCATATGCGGGAATTGAGCCCCTACTCGGCCATGTGAACTCGAAATTGCAAGTGGTACAAACTGCGCATAAAAGAATCTCGCCCTGATCTCACACAACAACATCACCACATCGTTATGAATCTCTCTGTGTTTGTTTTCTATCCGCGATATCTTAGTTTAAAACCTCCGCAGTGTCAGATTTCTATTCGTAATATTTAAATTTTCTGTCCGGGTTGACCATCTCTCCCTCTCGATATTTCTCCTGCTCCTCCACCACCACCATCCCATTCCCCTTTTCGGCATCCGGCCTGTGCGGACGCACGGCTATCCATGTGTGCATTCCATCCAGATCTCTATCGATCATCATCATTGTTGATCTCCCATTCGTGTAGTCATAAGGCGGTGAATAAATGGCTAACTGTTGAATGTAGATAAATGTGTGCGTTGCGTCTTGTTTGGCGTTTTACGCATATTTTATTGGTTTTAGTTTTGTTGACAATGACTATGAATGGGGAACAACATGAAAAATTAGAGCTAAATTTCATTTTTTTCCTTCTTTGCGTGAAATATTGCCATAACGGCGATAGTTACGGGGACTTTAATAAAAGACCTCTCTTTGTTGCGATAAATGTAGAATATGAAGCGATTAATTCTACAGGCGTTAAACGAGTAATTCTGCACTTTTACCGTATGTTGTGCTGTGCACATGAATGGATAAAGGTGCTCGCTGAATTAAGGGCCCATTGTTCTTCCAATCCCTATTTCTGTTCTTTCCATAAATCTTTCAGCTAAAAGCTTATGTGCTCCTGACACGTAGTTGGCATTGTTACCAGCTACAGTTCGCGGTTTAATCAAAGCTTCACCGCTCCACCGCTGTACCGAATGAATATGTTCGCATTAATGGCTAGCAAAATCGCAAGATTTGCATTCAGTATGAAAATAAAACAAAAGGCTAAGTTATGGATAGAACAGCAGGAGCAAACAAGGCTTTCCTATCAATCACTTTGTACAGAATTCAAATTTGTGTGACCGGAAACCAATAAAAGTCAATGTTGGTTTTAAAAAAGCATGCTCGATATCCCTACGGATTGTAGTTGATACTAAGATTCATGAACATGCATAATTAGTGGAGTTATGATGAATGTGGTGGG